TAGAGCTCGTGTCCGTCAGATCTGCCGAGATTCAATTTGGGCCAATATGTAGCTGTAGGCTAGTGGGCCTATGCCAGCATTTCCCTACTATTATATATATATATATATATATATATAGAGCCGAGGCCCTAAACAATCAAAGTAAGGCTCTAACATATTGGGTTATGTTAGGGTGCTCACAATATAGAGTAATTTATTATTGTACTCAACAAATTTTGGACACCTATAAACCCTTGTTTTATACATGGAACATTTTTTAACAAGGGTATTTTTGGTCATTAGAAGGGATGCGACATCATCTACATGGGGTGTGATGTCACATCCCATGTAGATGATGTCACACTCCTAATGGCCAAAAATACCCTTATTAAAAAAATACTCCATGTACAAAACAAAGGTATAGAGGTGTCCAAATTTTGTTGAGTACAAGTATAAATTACTCTATAGTGTGAATACCCTAATATATCCTATATATATATATATATATATGTATATATATATATATATATTTCCAATTAACCTTTTGAGTGTGTCATGGAATTGATGCCTATGGCTGCTTGTCTAACATATTAGCTTGATTTAAAGACTAATACTTCTGCATAATTTTATATAGGAGCATATGGGTTCTTTGAATTGCTTGGGTCTTTGCTCCCAGTTCTAAACTAGAAAGATGAGACTTTATTGGCACTTTCCTTATCTTGTATATATTGGAAATGAGAAGTACAGTTTCATTATTTCAGAAAATGGATGAAAAAGGAAAAACCGAGAGTCAAAATGAAAGCCTAACTCTGGTGAAAAAGGCACTGGAGTTAGCAGTTGCTTGTTGTTTACCTTCTATTATAACTGTTTGAAATCTCAAACCTTCATATTATCAATGCAAGGAAAATTCCAGTTGACACATAAACCAGGATTTGGTTTGACAAATATGAATCAGTTATTGATCATATCATTAAGCATGCAGTTCTCAGCTTACTGGAATGTGCCTGGCATTTCAGAAAAGGAAGTTCAATCTTCTTCCCGGATACCATTCCTTTTTGTTCCACACCCTTTATGATTTCATGTATGCTTTGTTAGATGCTGAGGGGTTCTATCTTATGTCCTTCATTTTGTGGTGACTTTATTGCTTATTGTTTATGTAGGCCTGAAGTTATTGCTTATTGTTTATGAAGTTATTGCTTATTGCTTATTTTGTGGTGACTTTATTGCTTATTGTGTGACTTTATTGTTTATTGTTTATGTAGGCCTGAAGTCTCATGCCGTAACACTATACGAAGCAGGAAAACTAGGTGATGCTAGCATTGGGGAGCTTTGTAAAGATCTTCAATCACTAGAAGGCACAAAATTTGAGGGTGAACTGCAAGAATTTGCCAATCATGCATATAGTCTTCGATGCACTTTGGAATGCCTGAGATCAGGTGGAGTAAGTGCTGATGTGGCTGTGGATGCCAATGATACAATGGGAATTCTCACTTCAAGCTCAGCTGAGGCTGCTTCTGGTACAGATGAAAATTTCATAGAAGAATCTGCTATCTATTCTTCAACTGAAGTAGAAGAAAAGATCAATGATCATCCTCTGGATTTATTATCTTCTGGAAGTGTTCAAATTGGTTCTCCTGCGGATTCTTATTTATTAAAAAGTGTTGTGCAAGAAGTTGGAGCCATTTCACATTCTGATTACGTGAATCAAAACGGAAATTTGGATAGAGAGAATGATTTATGGAAAGGTGGAAATACTGTCCTAACTGAAAGTTTCAGTACTGGACAGAACACTATTAAGAAGAGAAGAAAATATCGTGTGGATATTCTTCGTTGTGAGAGCTTGGCTGGTCTCGCTCCAGTAACACTAGAACGATTGTTTCATCGTGATTATGACATCATAGTATCAATGGTTCCCCTTCCTTCTTCATCAGTTCTACCAGGACCTTCTGGTCCTATCCACTTTGGCCCACCCTCTTATTCGTCCATGACTCCATGGATGAAACTGGCACTGTATTCAACTGTGGGTAATGGACCTTTATCAGTTGTACTGATGAAAGGGCAGTGTCTGAGATTGCTTCCAGCACCCTTGGCAGGTTGTCAAAAAGCCCTAATATGGGGATGGGATGGATCTGCAGTTGGAGGTTTAGGAGGGAAGTTTGAGGGTAACTTGGTAAATGGTAACATACTTCTGCATTGTTTAAATTCACTTCTGAAGCATTCAGCTGTGCTGGTAATGCCTCTCAGTAAACATGATCTTGATGACTCTGAAAGGCCAATTACGAAGGACATCCCATTGCCTCTTAGAAACGTCAATGGGTCAATTGCCAGTGTAGGGGAAGAAATGGGACTATCAAAAGAGGAAACGACAAAGTTGAACTCCTTGTTGATAGATTTGTCAAACAAGATAAAATTATTGACAATCGGTTATATTCGCCTAATAAAGCTATATAAGAAAGATGAATCTGAAAATGCCTCTCTTGATGGGCAAACATATGACTGGGTTCCACTTAGCCTTGAATTTGGTATTCCACTTTTCAGTCCAAAATTGTGTGGCCTGATATGCAATCGGGTCGTGTCCTCCCAGTTGCTTCAAACAGATTCACTTTTTGATCATCATGAAGCCATGCAAGCTCTAAGGAAAAGGTTACGTGAAACATGTATGGAGTACCAGGCAACTGGTCCTGTTGCGAGACTTTTATACCACAGAGAACAACAGCATGCAAGGGATTCAGAATCACCCCGCCAACTTGTAAGCTATGCTAGTGGGAGATGGAATTCTCTTTTGGAGCCTTCCTTGTCAATATCGAGAAGCTCAAGTGAACATCAGCGACTCAAACTGTTAAATCGGCAAAGATGCCGATCTGAAATTTTAAGTTTTGATGGTAGCATTCTCAGGTAAATTTTGTTGCATCTTTTAGCAGAGTTCCCATAATTCTTAATTTAAGTTTGTTTTAAGCCGCTTGTCCATGGTTTATTTACTGATGATTTTTGTGACTACATAAGTCTGAATCTTACTTTATATACCATTGAAGAAGCAAAGTGCTGCATGATGTTTTACTTTTAAAATCTGAAGTATATAATCATAAAAATAGAAATCAAGTGCTTATTAAACAGCCCATATGCTTTTATTTTAAACGTACATTTGACATGTTTGGGCTGATGCTGATAGTACTTACCAGATAATGGAATATATCTTTCACCCCCATGCTTATGCATATGGATGTGTGATTACACTTGTCCTTCAACAAACCTGGAACACAGTGTATATCAGTTCTGCGAGCTGCATCAATAAAAATTGGTGACATGGGTGTACTTTTGAATTTGCCTCTTCACTGTTATATTGAGTGTTACATACTAACTGGTTTTTTTGAGTAACTGTTTTGCCTTGCATCTGTTTGTGAGTTCCTTTTCCTTCATTACACCATAATTGGATTAGAAGTGTCTATGGATTTTGGCCGTGGTAGGTACTTGGCAGGCCGACTATCAAAAATCTGTATGTGGAGGAATTCCATAAAATTACTGACAAAGCCTTACAGAAGTGTTAAAATGTAATGGTAAGAAAGCTGTGCTAGGTCGAATGCACCTTCTTGATCTTTTAAGTAATTAGGTCTTTTCATAGATACCCTCCTTCTGAAGCAGGCATTTTTAAGAAATTAGGTCTTTTCACACAATAATTTTTGGGTCTTAATACTTATCAGAGAATAATAGGGGTTGTTAAAGCACAGCCAGTGCTCTTGATCACTTCAGAGTCATGTGTTAGATCCTTTTGCAAAGCTTAGAATTTCCTAAGTGTGTAATAAGTTAGAATATAAGGATCTTTTATGTGCAGGCAACATGAGCACTGGGAGTCGCATTATACTTGATAGGGATCTCATTTTGTTCAAACCAAGGGGTAGCAGGTTGTGGATCCAAAATATGAACCTGTTTTTAATTTTCATCATTGAATTTTCACTGGAATTTGCTGATATTTCCTGCTAGATTTCATCAGAACTTGGAGTCAATGATGACAGTAACTAACAGGAAAAAAATGGTTTTTTTGCCATGATTTTGGAATTTTTAATAAAGTTTCACCATCCCTGTGCCCCTCCAGACACCTGGAAACTTTGGATTTTAACTCCGGCAAGTTTTGACATGTAGTTTTTCTTTTTTTTTCTGAAGGTGATAGGATCCTTAAGTCCCCACCATGATTAAAAGACAATGAAATCTGCCCACTGCATCAAGAAGCGGGAAAAGTTTTGGACCTTCTACTTGGGGTATTATCCTTTTATGCTGGTGGCAAAAGGGCCAGAATGACCTTTTAAGGATCTTGATTTCCGGGAGACTCTAAACAAGTGTTTATAGGATCAATTAGCGTTATCTTAGTGATCTTTTGAGCGAGCAGTCTTAATGATTTAGGATGAAGATATTTTAAGAGAGAATTATACTATTTTTAGAATTAGAGAAAGTTGTAGGCTGAACCATAGCTTGGTTCATCATTTCACCGATGTTAGTTCTCTGTTTGTTCTTTGAAGAAATAATAATTGCCATGCGTATATTGATCTCTTCATGGACCAATCATGACATTATGAGGTCCAGAATTTCAATCTATTTGATTAAAGTGACTCCACACAGAGTCACATGAAGAGGTTAAATACACATCAAGCCAAGATGCAAGAAGAGGTAACCTGTTTTGGCCACTGAAAATTATAGAGGGGGAGGATCATTACAAAGAACCCACTAGCACTATCTTCTAGGATGACATGCACTAAAATTCAACTCATTATGTTCCCAGGGTTCAAAGAGCAACTCCCGGCATACCCCTTGGGTTCTTGTGAATATAAGAACTTTGGAAAGGTGAGAGACCAAGTGGCACTAGAAATATTGAAGAGATTTGAATGCTCTGCAGAGAAGTGGAGCAAATGTGATAGGTGTCATGTTGGCTGCAACTCCATGAGAAGTTTGAAAATGGAAACTAGATCTTTGAGAATAAAGGTTGAATTGTATCATATATATATAGTTGATTCAAACTGGTGAAGCTTCCCTTATGAATGATTAGCATTAAGAAATAATGCTGAATTCTTTAGCAACCCAGCATAGAAATATGTACAGAAGAGCCCAAGATCCTTCTTGTGGTTGCCACAAGTAAAGGAACCATCAAATTAAACTTCAATGGCAGCGCCATGGGGAAACTAGGCCGACCTGATCTGGGGGCACCTTTGAAACCCACATCAGTGGGATCCTACTCATCTACTCTGAACCTGCTGGTATTGGTGATGTCTTTTTTATCGAAATTCAAAGCCTGCTGCTCACCATGCAATGATTCGATGCAAGTTGGGGCTTAAACAGTTATTCTTGAAGTTGATTCACAAAATGTCATTTCCTGGCCCAACAAGTCTACCCTTTGCCTATGGAGGTTGGCACACCTCTTTGAGCAATTTTTCCAATTGTGTCATGATCTTTTGGTTTCTTCTAGACACACTTGGTGAGAAGAAAAACTCAATTGCTGCTCACCTGGCCAGAGAAGGAATGACTCATTGTTCTACAGCTGTAGTTACCCAGCATTTGTAACCCTCCTCCCTTTAAGTTATTAGATTGTGCACATGGCGGCAATTTTTTGTTTCAAAAATGTTATACCTAACACCCACATACAAGTTTACATCATTAATAGAAAGAGTCATGGGAAAAAAAAAAGGGCATGGGTGATATGCAGGAGTGTCTAATAAGGACATTTGTGGTAGAAAGGTAAATCTCAATGAAAGATGCTGGTATCGATTTATACCTATTCCCTGGTAAAGTGAAGTAATAGCTTGATATAAAGAGTAGGAGTTACGTTTGAACTCATCTTCCATATAAAAGGGCTGTAACCCGGTGCTGGTCCCGCCTATGCAGGATCCCGGGAGGGATGAGCTGGAAATGATCCTGACCTTTGGATTTTTATGCGCAAAGTGGCTGCTCTTAAGACTCAAACCCGCACTCTTGTGCCGGCTACCCTAGCCTTTTACCATCACACCAAGCGACGGCCCCTTGGTTTTCCATATATATATATATATACATGTATGTATACATATATATATATAATTAATGCTTTTGCATGTCCCCTCAAACTCACAAAGGTTTTTGTCGTCACCATTGGGGTCAGTAGTTTATAGTTGGTTGTCTGAATAATTACTGCTTGAGTATTGTGTTTTGACTTTGAGGTGAATTAGTCAGTAACTAGTTCATTTTTCAAAAATTAGGCAGTAACTAGTTTTCTCTCAACTATTGATGGAAGTGTCTCATGATCGTGCTGATTGACTGAATAGTCTGAAATGCCCTTTATTGCTTGTAGCCTCTGCTGTTGCGCTTTTTTTTCTTTTCGGGTACCAATCAAAAGCCAAAGAATTGAATATGTGGGCACCAATGGTGCAATCCAAGAAAGAAAAGAGGTTTCCTACAGCTAAGTGGCACATCAACGCCAAAAGTGCGATTAAAAAACTTGCAAACATTTGTTCTGTTCTATTCCTCTTATCAAACATGATAGGAAAATCTAATTCATTTTCTGTTTTTTTTTCTTTAAATCATTTTCAGATCATATGCTCTTTCCCCTGTGTATGAGGCTGCAACAAGGCCCATTGATGAGCCTGGTCTTCAGGAAGGATCCACAGTTACGAAACCAGAACCTGATGATTCTGAGAGCAAAGTTGTTGTTCTCCCTGGTGTAAATCTATTGTTTGATGGATCGCAACTACACCCCTTCGACATTGGAGCTTGCTTGCAAGCTCGCCAACCCATTGCATTGATAGCAGAGGCCTCCATAGCTTCTGCGGCCCTTCACCAAAAGAAGCCCTCATAGTCCCTTTGATTGTTATTCATGGTGTGAAGGCTGAGCACAGTTGCTGTGCCTTTAGAAGTGATGCCTTTAGTGGCATCACGTTTTAACAACCAAGTAGCTCTGTGGATCCTAGGCCGAATTGAAAGATGACTGGTGTTATGGGTAAGTCTCAAAATTCAGGGTAATCCATGGTAGTTCTCCGGCTTTGCCAAGTATTCATTCACAATGCTCGTGCAAATTTAGGAATTTTTGTTCGATTGGATGATTCTTTAATATATTTCGATCCCCTCTTGTGATGACCATATAGTTTGCTGTTTACTGGGGTGACTGAAGGTCACATGTTCCTTGCATTTCTAAGGATTGATGATTATCAAAATCTGCGGTAATTATTCAAACATACTTGTGAGTTTTTGCAATTGCAAATATGCCAAAGTCAGGTAGTGTATAGTGGATTATTCCGAAAACTGCCTAGAATTCTCCATGCAAAAGAACTGTGTATTCCAATAAAGACCGGTTTTTTCATGAGAAGTGTTGCTGATGAGCCGGAATTATCTTGCAGTATAAATGGCTGTTTTGTGAACTCATTTATGTGTCTATGTGTAAACTGCTATTTATTGGATTAATTTTCAATAGGTGAAGTGATGTAGGATGGCACGGTGGGAAAAGAAATCCACCTTCTTTCCGATCTTCAAACAATAAAAAGCCTCCAATAAATGGAGAAAAATATTGGTTGTAAATCAAGCCAAGAGAAGACTGTAAATCAAGCAAGAGAACTTTCTTCTTTCATTAAATAAAATCTATTCCAACAACATAAGACTCCCACAATGTGACATTGCACATTTTATAAGCCTATAAAATCTTAAAATTAATTTGAGATCCAAATAATCAATTTAAGACTCTAAAATGCCCCTAAATAGTTCTAAAATTTCAAAAATACTCTGGAAACCCTTCAATTTGCAGGACATGTGAATAGTATGCACATTTAGGGGCTGTTTGGGAACCTGAAAATCTATTACATAAAAATAAATTATAGAAAAAGATTACTTAATATTTCTTCAAAAATCAATAAATCTATTACCCGCTTTAGGCAGGTAATCGGCGGAAAATGATTATCCGAGATTTCTTCAAAAATCAATAAATCTATTACGCGCTTTACGGGTAATCGGCGGAAATCTCTCTCGTGTGTCTCACGAGCCCATCTTCTTCAACCTAGCTATTGTTTATTTCTATTTTTAACCTCAAAAATAATCACGAGCCCCATCTTCTTTAACCTAGCTATCTTCTTCAACCTAGCTATGGTTTATTTCTATTTTTTGGGTTATGCCTGTTGTTCCATAAAAAGGATTTTGGTTCTCGGCCTTCTAACCTGGCAGGCCCAGCCCATTATTCCAAAAAATTCCAAAAAAAACGGATCGTTTATTTCCAGATATCCAAGGCTTATTTTTTGAGTTATGCAACTACTAGCTATTGTTCCAAAAAAAAACGGATTTGGGTTCTCTGTTTATTTTTTTTGGTTTTTTTTTTTGCTACTATTGTTTGCTGATATTTTCGAAATACTTGAGTTCACTCACATAGAATCGTCAAATTAGTGTGTTTGAATTGTTTTTTTTTTCATAATTTTTTTAAATTAATTTATCTTTTCAATCTCCTCCATTGCCCCAACATAATTTCTCTTTCAATACATCTTAGGCATAAACCTATTAGCCTTTTAGGTTACTAGCTAAATTTCTCCAAACTTTTTTTTTCTTTGAAATTTGCCATGGAAGTTATCTGGAAAGAGATAATCGAAAGGCTTTAGCACAAGAAAAGAAAACATAAAAAATATGATGAATCATAATAAAAGTATGTTACTCCAAAAAGTTAATATCTTGAAAACATGTGATTCCAAGTCAAGATGCAAATGCATACAAAAGGTGTGGCTAATTCTTATTCTTGATGCAATTATAAAGTTTAAGCTACGTACTAATATGGATTGTACGATGAACCATGTTTTAGGTATAAAGCCAAAAAAAAAATAAAAAATAAAAAAAATATGTTGATAATGCATTTCCCATATTTCTTAAGGACATAGGCAAACAGTAACAATGTATTTCCTAGGTTGCATCTAAATACTACCCAAAATAATTTATTTGCAGGTAATGTATTATGCAGTAATGTATTACGGGTATAATATATTTCACAGACAATACATTTTCAGGTATCCAAACAGCCCTTTAGTACCTTAAATTGGTTAGTGCCTTAAATTGGGTGTGATTTTCATATATTTGCAATCTTAAACCATCAAAGTAAGGCACACCTCCAAATTTTGCCATAAGATACAATTTTGGTATAAAAGATTCGTAAGATAGTGCGAGAATCTATTTTCATGTTTAAAAATGGTTCAAATCTATAAACTCATAAAAATTTTGAAAATGGATTGTCTAAATAATATGTTGCAAAATATATTATTTTTGGAACTTGAAATGTTTTTTTGTTTTGCCCCATATCCATATATTTGGATGCAGGGATAATCAATTAAAGGTTTTTTCAACGCCAAAACAACCTTTTTGGTGGATTTTTTAATCCTACATTTTAAGGTGTCAACCTTTTATAAACCTTTTCCTCTTAAATTATTTACTTGGGTCGCAACAATTTTCATCGTTTGTTACACCAAGAGAGAAATCGGTTTAGAGAGAATATTGCAGCTCAATATGATGCACAATGGATCTTCAAATTTGTCTCATGGTTTTCCCTTTGTAAGAAGGATCTTCCTCTTATAAATCGAGTACTCTTCTTCACCTGCTTTTTATGAATGATTTTTGTTTGCTTGTTGCCTCTTTTCTGCTTCATGATTTAGTTTACTCGTGCAGAGACTGATGGGGTATCGCTTCCCCAAAAAGTGGTATCATAGCTAGGGTTATTAGTAGTTTTTCATGTGTAGAATGAACCATTAGCAAAATGGTTTATGTAAATGAAGAAATTGGGCAACTTAGAAATCCAAGATGGAAGATCTTTTGTATAGTAAAGATCTATATGTTGCCTTTGAAGGAGAAACCCACAAACTAAAGATATGTGGCATGACGAATGAAAGAAATTTGTACAAAAGGCTATTGAAATTGGTCGAAAAAGGGTGGATTATGATGCATTCTCATTTGTTTGCTGAAATATATGCATGATTAAGTGTGGAAGAAGTTGCAACAAGAAGGCTAGGAAGAAATGCTTTGCCGTTAGAAATTAGGGAAGAACTGGCAACGATGATCGTACCAGTCATTGGGGAGTAAGGCTGAAATATTGAAAGAAGCTCAATTCTATTACTATGGCAGGTGTCATGCGGGTTCCCTGTGTGCGTGTGTTTTTTTGTCGTTGTTAAAAATGCAATTTAAAAGCTCAGGAATTGAACAGGCATCACCAATATGGTAAGTGGGAACACGGAGCAAACACTTTGAATTTGGATATGAACCGTCCCGGCCTGACCGAGAGGCCCTCTTAGACAATCCAGTTCTTTGGATGGCGGGAGATGCCCCGCACTATCCGATGACACCTTGAAAGGAGAGAGATTCAGGAAGCATGAGAATTTCTCTAAAAGGGGGGCAATTTTGCGACAAACCCCTACTAGCCTTCAAGATTTTAAGTTTTCAAAGGGACTTAGAGTCCTAGGCTCTCTCTCTCTCTCTCCAGAGAGCTTTGGAATGTGGGTTGATTTCCTTACTTTGGTTCTTCAAGGGTATTTTTGGTATTTTGGTTAACTAGGGTTAGGTTTGATTTGGGATTTGACTCTATAAAATTCTCTAGTTTTAGACCTAATAAATGATCTCCAACCTTCAGAATGAATGGGGTTCAAGCTATGGTAGATTTTAAACTGTGGTGGATTATTAACTTTTGGGTGAATATATGGTGAATTACTAACTTCTAAATATAAAACGGCATTTTTATCATTGTCAAACTAACAAATTATCACAATATGCTTTTGAAAAGCTTAATTCGAAGCATACCCATCACCTTGGGCCTTTATTTCTATATTTCTTGCAGTGAACGGATAATCCTGAAAACCAAATCACGTAGAATTTCTCCCTATTCATTTGAGGTAGTTACGAGTTTTTTTTGGGTTGGATCCAAAAATAAGCAAAATACCTCTTTCCATACACATTTTTCAGTTGTTTTGCAAGGAGTGTGGCAATATTTTCTTTGTTTTGGCACCATAAAATTGTAGAGCTCAATCCTACGGAGGATGATTCTTACCAAGAACTCACATTGAATGAGTTATGAGCTCTTGGTGCCAAAACCATGATTTTCAGTAATGCTCTGAAAATTGGACATAAATTGACCCGTGATCACCTCTATCTCTATGTCGATCATGATTTGTTATGTATGTGCCGAAAGATTGTCGAGTGATGACCCAATGCACCAATTTTCATCGCAAAATTCCTCATGGATTGGGAGAGATCGCTGAAAAACTGAGCATAGGTCATGACATTTGAAATTTGCGCTATCTTAGCTTTTCTCTAAAAATCAACCACGTTCCTGCAAAGAAACCCACACAAAATGCACCTTGCCAGAAACCTCCTGGAGCAGAGAACGTCATATCCCATGCCCGGACTGAATCTCGACTTGTTTTGAGAGCAAAAAAAAAAAAGAAAACCAATGAATTGGGCCAGTTCGCCGCATTTTTTATCCAAAAATAACGGTACCATTTTCTTTATTTTTTCAATAATATGCTACACCCTTGGATCTTTAGTGAATCGAATCAAAAGGCATTGGATTGATACCAAAATTTGAAATCAAGGCATTTTAGCATCTTGCTACTATCATTGAAAATTTCATTTCCTTTGGGTTCCAATTTCCGGGGGTTCCTTTGTAAATTTTATCTCTTTTATGTGCTCCACAGGCTATGGATTATAGTCTAAGAATTGTTTTTGTCATATTCCATCCATCCAGTATTGTTTTCAGCTAATATTTGGAGGACATTTTGTGGGTGTCTTGGATTAGAATTGGGTTCTATTTGGGGCTGATTTGCATCTATTTTTTCTCGTTTTAATCATGCTATTTTATTGACCATCTGATGATAGACTTGGACCAGAAGAGCTCATGACATCTATTTGTGGGGTCTTTATCATGCAAAATGAGGATCCCTTCGAATTTGGGCCCAATCTATGTCCGTTTAGGGCCCTTCCACCTCTTTCTATATTTCTGACTGCTTTTCGACAAATATATGTTACCAGATTCATGTCGATGCCAACAACCTCAAATATTTGCGATCTGTGGCATGTCTTTTACTGGGAACAATTGCCACCTTTATCTTTCAAAGATTTGTGGGGGGTGAGGTGATGCCCGATTATCCATCTTCCGATTTCAAGCTGGCCTTTTGGTATGTGTTCACACGTGCTGTAGAAATACACCCGAACAATAGCATGACAACACACTCGTGTCCAAAGCTCAAACGAGACCACAAGGGTATGAATATAATGAAGGCAAGGGAACCACTAACCGTCCTTAACCCCTTGTAAATATCAGTACAGTTGTAGCTGTAGCTAGTCATCGATTCAGGGGCCTTAAACCCCTTGTAAAGATCTGTTTGCATCATAAAAGGCAGAAGCCTTAAGGATGG